TGGCCCGGCTGCTTTGTCCCTCGGCTCCTTGGAGATGTGCTTTTTCCTTTCCTCCTCTTTGTGCTTGTCTTTCTCCTCCTCCTCCTCCATCTTCCCATTTTCCATCTCCTCCTCCTCCATGGAGAAGGATAAGAAGCTGAAGAGGAGGAAAAAAAGCAAGAGGTGGAGGTGAAAGACGGGAAGGCGGAGGAAGAGAAGGTGAAGGGGGAGGATGAGCATCGAAACCAGAGGTGAAGAAGGACAAAGTGGTTGAGGAGAGGAGGACCAGCTGCAGCTTTTCCTCCTTTTCTCCTGCACCACCTTCTTTTCTTCCTCTTGCGCCACCTCTTCTCATTCCTTCTCCCCCTCCTCCCTCAGGTCCAATCATGATTGTCCCGATGTCATGACCTGCTGTCATGCTGTTCATTTCAGTGCAAAATGTGCACCAGGTGGTGCTGCAATGCAACAAGTGCATGAGAGTTGCTTCTAAAGTGGTCAGTAGATTTAATATATGCACTATATACAAATTATATGGATAAATAACGTGTAATGCAGTGCGTCTGAGTGGCCGTGCTATTTTAATATCGAAACGTGTAATATATAATTAATAGGATATGTCTGATGTGGGCGTGTCACATGTAGTGATTGACAGGCAGCTTAACTGTGTTTGTTTGGCCTTCTTATTTGCTAATAAAGTTTTTACCCAATTATGACATTTGGTCCTCCTTTTTTGCCTTCTCATCATCAATATAGTTAAAACTAAAAAATAATTATTGATAGAGGTATTTACATATTTTCCCTGCTCCTAATACATGCAATGCTGCCTCCTTTGGACATTTTTACTCCTTTGTAAATCCATGTTGTTATTGTTACTCACCGTATATAAAAGAATACAGAAGCATAAATGATTACATTTTATTAGTATTAAATTAAGTATACCAAGTGCAATTTAGCTAGCTGCAAATGAAGGAAAAACTTAATTCTGAACTTGAAGTGCCAATGAATGACAATTCTGAGATTGCAGTTACTGTATGCAACACTTGAGGGGGACAGAGCCTATACAGTATTGACACGTTAAATGGGTGAGTATACTAATGTACACGGTTGAAACTGCTATCAAGATTGGATTGCCGGCTCAATTAGCCTATCTTTGACCAACATAATGCCCTTCACTTATGTGCACAAGCATGATGTTCAAATGTGGCCGTTCATAATGGCACGTGATAATGGAAGTGCGTAGTCCTGAATGAATAATCAGAGAATGTTTAACAAAAGAGCACCACGAGCAATGCTAAGCTTGCGTTAGCACTAGAAACAAGCCGACGTTAGCCACAATTGCTACGTTGGTAGCATGATTTATTTGTAATGGTGTGTTATTATAACACTTCGTATTAGTGGTTTGTGGTTATTTTTTTTCTTGAATGTACCTCAATTAAAAATCAAAGGTGATAAAACTAGCTGTCAAGCCAAAGGGTTAGTAATTACGTAATGCTTCAGAATTTTCTCAGCTCTCTGAGGTCCCTTGCCTATGGACAATTGGATGCTTTAAAAAAAAAAAAAATCCTGTAAGTGTCCCAATATTTTTGTTTGCTCTTTGTTGACGTGAATGAATAGCTCATGGGAACAGCAAGCATTCCGGAACATTTAATTTAGTTGGATTTTACACACACATGCACTCACACACATCATAGGTGCATGTGTTTTACTTTACTCTGTTTGCTGAAAAACTAATCAAATTCAAATTGACACCTCAATGAATTAGTAAAAACAAAGAAAAGGTGGGGGGACAATTCAATTCAGTCCGTTGTAGGCTTTATGTGGATACAGTATACAGTCTCTCTCTCTCTCTCTCTCTCTCTCTCTGTCTCTGTGTGTGTGTGTGTGTGTGTGTGTGTGTGTGTGTGTGTGTGTGTGTGTGTATATGTATACATCCATACATACATTTTCTGAACTGCTTTATCCTCACAAGGGGTGTGCTGGAGCCTAACCCGGCCATACTCACACAGTAGGTGCCGTACACCCTGAACTCGTTGCCAGCCAGTCTCGGGGCACATGTAGACAAACAACCATTCACACTCACAGTCACACCTCAATCATCATCCTCCTAGTATGCCAAAAGTGTCCTACGAGTGTGCAGAATGGGGTTTAAACATCTCGCTGTGCATGCAATTGTTTGCGTCCAGCCTCCAAAAAAACCTCACTCTTCCCATGGGTCTCTGTGAAATTGCACACGTTGACGCTGACATCCTGTCCCATGCGAAAAGCAAAAGTCGGTTAAATGCCGGATCGCCTGTAGGACTTCTGATGTGGCTACTGAGCAGAACCGCCGCGTGAGAAGCCACGTTCAAGGACTAGTCGGGCTGCGTTTCTGTGAGTGCCCACGGTTACAATGGTGTCACGTTTTGTGTGAAAAGCAAAGGTGTCGTCATGTGTGGACCAGTTGAACGCAACGGCAAAGAAGAACTCGTTGAACGTGAAACCACTTCTTCACATTCCTGCACATCGTTTTCATTTGATTGTTTATGTCTTCACCATCAGTAGATGTGTGCGTGTGCGTGTTGTCTGTGACTTCATGTGTGCACATCAGACTGTCTGTCTGCGTGTGTGTCTGAGCGTGCAAGTGTATGTGCATGCAAACGTGTGCGTGAGTATTGTGTGTGTGTGGTTGTTCATGATCATGTGAGAATGCGTGTGGTTTTGGATGTAGGTTTGGATGTGTGTGTGCTTGTCTTTTTTCGGTTTGAGCGTGTGAGTGTACATGCATGCGTCCATGTGTGCGTGTCTGTGTGTGCAAGTGTATATGTGTTTTTTGTGTGTATGGGTGTGTGGGTAGTTTAAGTGTGAGTGTGTGTCCACGTGTATAGCATGTGTCGAATGTAAAGAAGGTTGCACATGCAGGCCGGGCTCTTAACAGGAAGTAATGTCGTGTGGCAGCTGTTTTACGCCTCCTCCCTCATTCACTCATTCTCACCCTCATCACCCCCCCCTCCCTCTTTCTCTCCCTCCCCGTTTCTCTTTCGCGTCAGTCTGCAGGCGGTCACCGCTCGGCTCACGTTGCCTGTTGTGCGTGTTACTCTTCCATTCTTTTCACTTTTACCCACGGTGAATAGTTGGACTCCCCCCCCCCCCCTTTACCTCTGTTGGATTTTTGCAGCTTGCTTTTTTTTCCATTTGCTTCTTTTTTCAGAGGTGGACAAAAGAGTCAACGTGAGTAGTACAAACTCTGTTTATTTGTCTATTCATCCTTCCACTCATCCGGCCTTCTAAATGATGCCACCGGCTAATTTGCTGTTATTCCCATTCACATCTGTTTACATATTGCTATTCTTTAATGTGCACTTTAGCTTTCTCATGCCCATATTGGTCCTATTCGATTGCCATGTACTCTGCTTTAAATAATATATTTTGTTATTTTGTTTGTTTTTTATTTACTTCAAGATGGCGTTGCGAAAGTGGCTGCCTTTACAGCAGCTCCTATATTTTGTTCTTCTACTTTCTCTTTCATAACTTTGCTGCTGTAAATTGGAATTTCTCCATTGTGAGACCAATAAAGGATTTCTTATCTTATAATAATAACAGCACTATACGATATATATTTTCTCCTTTTTTAAAATTGTGTTTCAAACATACGCGGAGACGGCAAGCAAGCCCATTTGACAAGGATCCTAATGTTTAATGGAGGCAAATGGGTTTTTAATTATTGTAATGAATGCACTTGTGGCACACAAACCAGTTCTGTGTTGAGTCTCGGATTAGTCTTGTCACTTTAAGACACAAATCTTCCTCATCTGGACCTCTTGTGTGTGTGTTGAAACGAAAACTTGTCCACACAACAATCACAAAAAGAGTTTGCTGCCAGCGCCACAGGCCGCCACCTATGAATACAAACAAGCCGGACTGCAAACTGGACGACACTTTGCAAAGCCACCCATCGATTGGCTTGCTCGCTGCAACGCCGGTGTGAAACTTGTCAGATGCTGCTCGTACAATGAAATAGTCGCTTGGTCGCTGACGTCCCCACCCCCCCTTTTAATAGCATCCTTCATTCCTGACATTTCTGCTTCTTTTTAACCATCCTTTTTTATTTTGTTTCCTACCGCCTGCCACATTTGTAACCCTTTACAGATGGCATATTAAATATCATTCGCATGATGTCGTCCAGCAAGTCGAGCAGAAGACAACGCCAAGCGCGCGTTTGTCTGACAATCCCAAATGTTTCCCGACGTTCCCAACAATCAACAATGCTTGCTCAGTTCCTCCTCCAGAATTCCTGTTTGCTCCACCACCCCCCCCCCAATCTTCTCTGCTTTGTCTTTGTCCTCAAGTTAGCACCGTCGCCATTGACTTCTTCCTCCGCTTAATTGATAGGAAGAAATACAAAACAAAGCTAATGACCACATTCAAACTCTGTCGTAAGAATGTAAAGTTGGCACTGGAGTCAGCATGTATTACTGTTCCTGTTGAGACCTGGTTTTGGAAGTCTCACCTCATTGGCTGGCTTTTCCGTCATTAGTGTTGATTCATCCTTGGACCAAATCGATGTCAAACATTACAGCGCTGCTCTTGAGTACGGAGGGCCGCGGAAATAACTCATGTCATTTTATATACTTTTTATGGGTTTGTTTTTAGCGAATAAGTTGAAAACATCACAATATAATATGGCATAAAAGTGGAATAAAAACATAAACAAATTTTAATTTGTTTTAGGAAAAAGGCAAAATAATCCAGACGCCAATATACATTGTCGAGAACTTGAAAATGTGAGCAAATCAAACGTGAGGAAGAAACATCTCCACTCGGCAGGAAGGATGCTTTGTGAAATTGGAGCTGCGACCTCCAAGCCGGACAGACGTCTGCGGTCCACATGCGAGATTTTTTTTTTTTTTTTTGCTCCATCCACCAGCGACTTGTGACTGGAATGCTCGAGAAGAGACAAACAAGCCTCACAGCTAGGAAAAAGAAATGATGAGAAGAGAGACGGTGTTCAAATGCCAGCAATTTTGTGATCTAAAAATGAGAGTAAGATAAAATCATTTCAAAGTTATGTTTTAGGAAGCTTTTCCTGACATGTTAGGGGCCTCTTTCATTTCGCGACCGTTCAAAATTCTCTCCACCTTTTCTAAGGCCCCAGTTCTTGCATGGAACATGAAGATAAACGCCAGAGGATGTCATGGGAAGGGAAGACTATCAGCCAGATGTGATTACGTCACGTCTCTCATTGGTGATTAGATAAAAGCAGCACCAACTATTTACTATTGCATAATGACTCCATCTCCATGACGCCTGGACAGGAAGTCACCAGGACGTACTTGTTTCCTCTCCTCCATCAAATCGTTTTGTATTCAAAATAGTGTCAAGTATGGTGGAAAATCTCTAGAAAAGTTGGACTTTGGTGCATCATCACACGTGATGTCACATGAGAGTTCAGCTCAGTGAGCATCAAAGGCACAGGTGTCAAACTCAAGACCCGGGGGCCAGATCTGGCCCACCACATCATTTTATGTGCCCCGCGAAAGCAAATCAAACATGTCAACTTCTACGATGCTTGCTAAAATATCGACCAAAATTAAAAATTCTCCTATGTAATAAATAAGAGACATGCTGTAAACATTTTATTGTAACCAAACCCCTCATGACAGTAACTTAAAACAATAGTTGATTAAACCGTTATTATTGACTTTTTTTTTAATTTGGTTTCAGTCATAACGGCGCTCCAAGGGAAACGGCAATTAAAATGTGGCCCACGACAAAAATGAGTTTGACACCCCTGAAAGGCATGAGAAGGAAAATCTGGCCCTCAATGCCCATGTGTGATTTCGCAAATGGATGAGGTTAAAAAAAAAACAAAACAAAAACAAAAAACAGCCATTAAAACGAATCTCATTTCCCTAAAACATTTCTACCTCCTCCCGCCTTACTCCTCTGTCAATCTCCTCCCTCCTGGATGGAATTTCTGGGGGGGGAGGCGCTAGCATCTAAACAAAGCAGCGAAGACCTAGAAACCTGCAATCAGACAAATAAGACGAGCCCATAGTTTAACTCTTTCTTTTGAAATCCTGCATCCAGCTGCAGCCATTAAAACGAATCTCATTTCCCTAAAGCATTTCTACCTCCTCCCGCCTTGCTCCTCAGTCAATCTCCTCCTTCCTGGACGGAATTTCTGGGGGGAGGCGCTAGCATCTAAACAAAGCAGCGAAGACCTAGAAACCTGCAATCAGACAAATAAGACGAGCCCATAGTTTAACTCTTTCTTTTGAAATCCTGCATCCAGCTGGTTCACGCCTATTTTCCAAAGTCACCGACGAGGAGCTGAAAGACTTCTCGAGTGTATGCATCAAACATCCCTTCGATTTAAGCTAGCCTATGGGAAGCTCCTCGATGGATATTTAAAACAAGGCTCCTCATGGCGGCGTGGGAACAATTCCGCCGGTCGCGTCACTGTTTTTGAGGAGCGAGGAGCTAGCAACGTAGCAAATAAGAGACTTAAGTTGAGGCCTCACTGTTTGAGCAGAGTCCTTACTTCCAGGTCGACAAGAGTTGTCACTTCCTTTTCAAGAGCTATTCCAAGTCGTTATTTCCCGTTAAAAAGTAGCCGTTACTTCATGTACTGCCCCTTTGACGTCCTGTTGGAGGAAAGCTGCGACTCCCTTTCAACCCTTTCAGTGACAGCGGTTACTACAGTGGACAGCTTATCATGTTATCAGGTTACAGGGCACACGAAAGGGTTAATGTTGTCTCTTTCATGTCCAATTGTGTCAACTCGCTTTTAACGGCAATATTTCTCCTCTTTCACACGGCTGTACGTCAATAAAATCGAGCTGGTGGCTGGAGTGCTTTGTTGCCACGGCGATATGACATCAACTCGACGTCTTACTAATTGCAAGAGACGAGAGGTTAACGGTTTGCGTTGAAGTCGAGGAGACGTGGGTGGTCTTTAAATGTCAACTCTCATTGAATTCGATGAATTATTTCAAGAACCTCTGACCTCTAGTTACGCAACTGCACAGTTGTGGAACGATAAAAATTAGTAATCAAGCCTAAATGGGTCCCGTGATGCGGGAAATCCAGCATGGGGAAATTCCTGACTGCTGATGTCTTTTCTTCTGCTGTTTGAAAAGCATCAATGATGAGTCAATGAAACTTTAATAAGCCTCTGAAAGAAACAAAACAAATTATTTTAATGGGATGTATTTATAGCGGGTACAAATGTATTCAGCTAACGGAGATGCTCGGAAACGCAAATTGTTTGCTGTCAATCATGTTAAGAGCTTACATTTAAATCTTATCAAGAAGTTTGACTCGAATTAAAAGTATTGGATATTTTCGTTCTTGGCATCCCACAGGAAACCTTTCTCAGCCATGGAAAATTCTGCCCCCCTCTATCAACATGAGAATTTGGTTGTCCTGCCTCTCATGATTAGATGCCTCAAAAAGTTTCAAGGTCCCAAGCCCGAAATGGAACATTTTGTTTCGAAGCCACCATTATAGGGTAATTTTGACCGCTTCCCGGGAAAGACTTGCCAAGACAAACTTTGTCAAGACAAACTTTGTCTTGGCAAGTCTTTGTGAGTGGGCGAAGCATAGTTGTTTGCAAGGTGGATGACTTGCCTTCCAACACCAAACTGGTAATATGCCAGCATATGATTTTTTTTCTCATGGGGGGGACAATTTGTCAATCAAAGCGAGATGTTCATGATGACTAGACCCACAAAAATGTCTCAAGAAGCCAAGCCTGAAAAGATAAAAGAAAGACTGCCATTTTGCTTAGAACAGGCCATTATAGGGTCCTTGACAAACTCCAACGAGAGATTTTGTCTGATTGCCACCAAATCTGAAGCACTTATACTAGACCCGGATGACCAACTGGCAACCAGAGTCTTGATTCATTCCCCAAACCCTGCTATACAAAAATATTTGAATTTTATATATATATACAGTATATATATTGTTTGTTTTGTTTCATTATTATATTTTTAAAAGGTCAGAAGTTGATCTTATTTTTTTTATGTGTAAGGAAGGTCAAATTCTGGTGAAAATGAAAGAAAAAAAAAAAAGGACTCGCCCAAAGCTCACCCTGTAGCGTCACTTGAAAAGTTTGAAAAATCGGTCCCTCAGACCAGTACCACCGTGAAATTGGTTGGACATGTTTCTAGCAAGAGGACACAAGAAAAAGTGTCAGGGATCAATGCGAGGATTTCAACAGGAAGTGGCCACATTTTGATTAGAAACAGCCATTTTGGGCTAATTCCATTGCTCGTACAATTTAATCTGCCCAAACAGCTTTTTTTTCCTTCACACCACATGATCTGATGATCATTTTGAGTATTTGCCATGAAAAAGGTGTAAGAGGGCCTCTTTAGTGCTGCTTTCTTCTTTCATTTTTGTCTACGAACGAGACTACGTGGCATAATTAAGCGGCTAGCAGTAAATCAGATTGCATCAATAATGAGTGAGGTCTTGCACTGCAACGGGAATGCAAAGAGGAAAAACATGACCACGTCTGTCATCATGCACAACCACAACAAAAGCGACCAATCAGACAAAAGTACAGAACGCAGGAAGTGAGAGAGGAAGCACATTGACACGCACACAAAAAGCACAACACTATTGTACCACATTCTATCATATCATTGTAACACAAGTACAACGCAGGGTAGAGGGGATTAGACTAGAAAAGTATTGTTAGCCTGATGCCCACCAAAATTGACTTGCCCTTGTTGGGGTCTTCTCGTGGTCTCTCTCACGTGATATTTTTGTGGTCAAAAGGCTCAAGTTTCGCCTCATGTTGAGCATCAAAACATTGTGTAACCTTCCATTCAGGTTCACGTCCTTTGTTTGAGGTGCGGCTTTTTGCCAGACGCCGCTCATGTTTGTTGTCTTGTACTTGCAAGCGTGAGTGCGTGAGTGCGTGTGTGCGTGTGTGTGTGTGTGTGTGTGTGTGTGTGTGTGTGTGTGTGTGTGTGTGTGTGTGTGTGTGTGCCTTAGTGGGTGTGTCTGCTGTTTATTAGGAAGCTGGCTGCTCTTGTTCAGCCAACAAATCAGATGCTACAAGCGAAATGAAATGACCCTCTAGATATCATACATCATCTCTCTTGCTGACGCACACACACACACACACACACACACACACACACACACACACACACACACACACACACACACACACACACGCACACGGTTATCTGATCACAGTGAGATGAGATAATGAAGCAAAAGGTGGATATTTATTAAAGTCGTTCATTTTCAGGCTTGCGAGATATGTAACGGGTTTTCCACTTGTGTGTGAAATGATTGCCCGCTATTTGCAACCTGCACGTTCGTGCAGGTTGCACTAACTGGGTACTTCTTTAATGTACTATTTTGAATGACAGGTGTTATCAGAACACTACACCACAGAGCTAACATTCAATACGAGATGACACTGGACAACAGAAAATTTTGATCAGGGATGGCTTTGTGTGTCCCTAAATGTATTTTTGTTACTGATTTAGATTTTGAGATATTCGTTTTTTTTCTTTTTAAGTTTGACCCATAAAAACTTGTGCCATACAAATTTTACCATGCATTGTAAAGTCAGTGCTTTAAATCAAAATGGCCGACTTCCTGTTACATTTCAGGCATGGGTACTTGAGGCTTTTTTTGTATTACGCAACTCAATTGCATCCAGTTTTGTGTCTATAGACTGGTGGCGGGGCTTAATTTTTCGGAACTTTCCACAGGAATGGGAATTCACTCAAAATTGCTGCTTCAAAACAAACCGGCGGGATTCCTGGTCAATTTCAGGAAGAGGGTCTTGAGACTTTACGACGTTCATCCTCTTTTGTACAACCAATTTTATGTTAATTGGAGAAACAGGTGTCAGGAGATGATTTTCTCTAACTTTCAAAGGCCGCTACCCAGTGAGAACGACTTGAGTGAGTTTTAGACGGTTGTGTTGGGGACCTCTGAAAAACCCCCACAAAGTTTCACCGGAATGCAAGTTTTTGTAAACATTGGTGAATTTTCGGGCCTGTTTGTCAGGAGATTAATAAAGCCAGCAATTGTACTACATCATCCTGACAACTCTTCCTGATATTTTGATTATTCATTTGGCCACAGACTTTCTGCCCAGAGTTTGGACTTCCACACAGGAAGTGACACCTTCAAAAACTTTACTGATGTCATTATGTTTTCATTCTCAGTCTGGCACCGCACCTGAAATTCCACAAATGCCTTTTCAGG